AGCACTTGGTGGGCAAATTCTAAAAATAAGCACAATTTGATTCAAACCCGCCCACCAAGGATCACTAAGCTCATGCAATAATCAATCCATCAATCACACGACCTAATTCACCTAAGTCTTCGACCTAAATCTAGGTTCAATCATGCAAAGCACAAAAATTCAACCTCACTTCACTACCTAATCCGATTCTCCACAATTCACAAAGGTAGAGTCGAAAAAAAAACTTGGAGACACAAGTGGGACGTAGGAGGAGGTGAGGTGCTGGCGAGGACGGTGAAAAACGATCGGAAAACTGATCGGAGAGGGGTCGCCGAAGCTTCATTGGGAACTCGCCGGAGACTCGCCGCCGGTGACTTGCCAGAAAAAATAGGCTCCAAATCTCCCCAAAATCTCAGCACATGCCATTTTTTTGGAGAGGAGGCTAGGTATGACGTTGGTTTTGGGTTTTGCTCGCCGGAAATGGGGGAAATATCGAAAAAACGATGGGTTTTTGCTTTTTCCGGCGAAGATTTGAATTTTCCGACGAGAATTTGGTCGTGAAGTGAAGAGTCGTCGTTCATGCCCCTTTTGTAGGCACGACTCTGAGTTCACGGATGCGTTGCTCAGTTCACGGTCTTAGCGACCTTGAACTCTAAAACGCGTCCATGAACACGGAGTGGTTGACAGGTGGTGAACATGCAGTAGTACGCAGTTCACGGACGCGTTTTCATGTTCACGGTCTTATAATCAATCCGTCCATGAACTACAGCAAAAACAATATACCTCTACTAAAATTTTGACTCAACCTATTCCTATGTGCCTTTTAATCAATCCCAACACAACCATAACCCACAAAAATACAACACTCGGCACGGGGACACCACTTCACCACTCGAACCCTTCACATGACACTAAAACAAAAACTAAAGAAAAGAAAACAAACCTCCGTTGGGTTACCTCCCAACAAGCGCTTGTTTATCGTCATTAGCTCGACGGTTGGGGATCAATCACGACTTCAAACGTGATGCCACCGAGAGCGACTCCACCACACTCTCGGGGCGAGGCTTGTAGCCTCCCATCTTAGGTTCCTTGAGTTGGCCCTCTTGGTTGGCCAACATTGCTTCGGCCTACCCCATCTTCCGGCTCAAAGCTCCCTTCATACTTCTCCTCCAAGCATTTATCCTCGATCTTTTGGACTTAGGACCCTTCTTAACTTCCTGCTCAACATCATCAAAGACAACACAAGTAATGGTGGGGTTTTCCTCGAGAGGCTCTCCTCCACTCTCATTCACGTCATTTGAAACTACCCCCTTCACTTCATCACTCCGAACCCTAGGATCAATTTCAAGCTTGATTCTCTCCTTACCATCCCTCAAAATTAGGGTCCCCTCATTAACGTCTATCAATACCTTGGCGGTTGCAAGAAAGGGACGACCGAGGATAAGGGGCATATCCGAGTCCTCACTTATGTCGAGAATCACGAAATCGGTCGGATAGCAAAACTTTTCCACTCTCACCATCATGTCCTCCACTATACCTCTCGAGTTAATGACCGAATGATCGGCTAAGGTGATGCTAATCTTAGAGGTCTTAAGTTCACCTACTTCTAACTTTTTGAAAAGCTTGTAGGGCATCACATTAACACTAGCTCCTAGGTCCGCCAAGGCATTGTCTATATGATGGTTGAAAATATCAAGAGGGATAGTAAAGCTACCTGGGTCGGACCTCTTTTTGGGCAAGCGGTCGAGGAGGTAAACCGAATACTCCTCGCCAAGAGTCACATTGGTGAGGCCTTCAAGCTTGGGCTTTCTAGTGAGGAACCCCTTGAGGTGCTTGGCATATCGGAGCATTTGAGCCATGGCTTCAAGGAACAGGATGTTGAGGTTGAGGTTGCGGAGCATTTCCATGAAACCTCCACACTTGTTCTCCAATCTCTCATTGTACATCCTTGTGGGATAAGGAAGAGGCGGTGTGTATCCATCCACTGGAAATGCCTCCCTTGCCGCCTTCCTCTCATTCCTCGAGGGCTTCCCTTCACCCTTCTTCGGGTTGGTCTCTTCCTTGTTAGAATCCTCATTCTCCACCACTTCATTAGTGGCGAATTCTGGAACCACCTTCACACTCCTCACTTGAAGTGCATTCACCCCGGCTTGATTGGGGTTCGCCACGGTTTGGGAAGGTAAGGCTCCCTTGGGTCTCACGGTGAGGATGCCGGCAAGATAACTGATTTGCACCTCCAAACTTTCGAGGCTCGCATGATGCCTTCGAAGACCCGCCTCAACCGAGGTAATCTTGGTAGTCGCCACATCCATGAATTGCTCTATCTTCTCAAACTTTTGGCTACTCGTACTCACAAAGGTTTTCACTAGGTCTTCAAGCTTGGATAGCTTGTCAGGTTGTTGTTGTTGAAACCCTAAGGCACCTTTTTATTGGTACGACTGTTGAAAGTTTGAGCCTTGGAGTTGGAGCCTTTGTTGGATGAAGTTTGGCCGAGGTTGGAAGTTCCCCGTGGGGCCTTGGAAACCTGGGGGCCTCGGATTAGCCGGTGATGACCAAGCAAAGTTGGGGTGGTTCCTCCAACCGGGGTTATAAGTATGGCTATACGGGTTGTTGACCCTAGCATTTTCCACGAAGTTGATTTGCTCCTCTGGAGTGGTTGCCTCCTTCACTGCTTGGCACTCCACCATCTCGTGGCTAGTACTCGAGCACCAGTCGCATGACATTACCACCCGTTTTCCTTGTCTTTTATCTTCAAACATAACCTCAAGCAACTTATCCAACTTCGCCTCAAGCAGAGCATTCGCTCCCACGCTTCTCACTCCCTATCATTGCTTCTCCTTCCACTTCTAGTCAACGCCCAATCATACCCCCTAAGGGCCATATCTTCAAGTATCTCGGTTATTTGGGCTGGAGCCATATTCATCAACTTCCCCTGACACAAAGAGTCGATGAGGATCTTATCTTCTTGCATTAGGCCTCCATAGAAGTTTTCACTCCGAAAATATTCTTCAAACCCGTGGTGAGGGAAATGAATAAAGTAATCGGAGTACCTCTCCCAAGCATCCATCAAGGTCTCGTCCTCTTCTTGCTCGAAATGTGTAATCTTCTTTCTCCACTCCTCCGTCTTTGAAGGTGGGCAATAACGAGCCATAAACTTGTTGAGGAGGTCGTCCCATGAGGTGATAGACCGAGGTGGGCGGTTGTTTAGCTACCTAAGTGCATTCCCCGAGAGTGAGTATGGGAAAAGCCTTAGTTGCAAAGATTCGGCTGGCACACCATTAATTTTCAATCTTCCCGCAAGCTCGAAGAATCTCTGCACGTGCTCTCTAGGTTACTCACTTTCATGGTCGTAGAATAGAACATTACTTTGTATTATAGTCACTAGAGCTGGCTTGATCTCGAAATTTTTTGCCGCCACCGGAGGATGTAGGATGGCGATTGAATGTCCGCCGACCTTGGGGCCATATATTACCCCATCGTCCTCGGGGCTCCTTCTTCTCCCGCCGCCTCATTCATATGGCGGGCTTGAGCGCCTCCATCTTGTCTTTGGTTCCCCGGCATTAGCGGATACAGGGGGGCCACTTTGGGCCCGGGCCTAGCCCTCCCTGCCTCCCCAAGACCCAACCCAGCCACATTCTAGCCCATAATTATTTGGGCCCAGCCCCAGTCCCAAGACCCAGCCCAGCCGGCCAGCCCAAACAAATCTCAAAGACAAAACCCAAAAAAATAAACAGACTACAGACCCAAATAATAGACTACAGAGTACATACCCTCTCTGCCTCCTCTCTAGCTTTCCCTCCAAGTCTGGGAAAAAAAGAAGAAGAAGAAGACGAACAGACCCTCCCTGGCCCATGCTCCCCACCTCCCCGCTGCTCTCCACCTCCGCCGACCGCCGATGGTAGGCATGATGATGGTCCGAAGATCTCAAGTCTCAACTCATATCTATGATCTTGACCATTATGGTTGTGATTCTCCCTTGCGGTGCTGCTTCTAGTCATGATGACGTTGTTGTTGGTCGGAGTACTATTGCTGCCATAGAAGTTTGATTCCTCCCACCTCTCCAAAACATATCCTGGCCAGCTGGCCTTCCCTCTTTGGCTCTTTCTCCGCAGACCGCAGCAGCTAGCCAGCTACAGTAGAAGTTTAGAAGACAACAGCAAGGCGCAAGCAACAGGTAATTGCAATTTAACAGGTAATTGCAATTTGCTAATTGTTCTTACTGTCTTAGTTTACTTAATCTTATTTACTTAGAAACTAAGTTTGTTCAGTGCAATTATGCATTAAGACATTAACATAGAATTTCATATTAGGATTTCTCATATATCATACTCTGTAGAATTTGTATCCAAATTTACTTTATTACTTAGAATCTAGTGTTTGACTGCGGTGTATATATGTTTAATTGATTATGGAGATTTCAATATATTTCATCATCACATCTTCTCAACCACCAAATAAAAAGGCGAAAACAACAATGTTTTCTTACTATCAATGTAGGAATCTGAAACGTGTCAGACCGAAGAAGTCCCTCCTAATGAAGGTCAACCATCTTCCTCTCCAGTTCAGAATGAATCATCTACTTCTCCTGTATCCGGTAATCTACTTCCATCATCTGATAGTGGAGTTGAAATTGAAAGAGATCCGGGAAAGAGGAAACAAATATGTGATTGGGCTCTTGAGTTGAGAGATGAGGTTAGGAGAAAATACCTAATACACAAGGCTTATCAACCTAAACCGCATACTATAAGCCGCGAGAATATCCAGATAAAATTCGTCACTTTCAAGAAGCATGGTATTCACAATTTGATTGGTTGGAGTATTCTCCTACAACACATAAAGCATATTGTTTCCCATATTTTTTGTTTAGAGACAAGATGAATGGGAATCAAACTTCTGCACTAGTCAAAGATGGATTTGATAATTGGAAGAGGGTTAATGGTAAGAAATGTGTCTTCCTTGTTCATGTTGGTTCATCAGCTTCTTCAAGCCATAATAAATGTGTTACAGCGGCTGATGCCTTGATGAAACCCTCCGGTCATATTGATAAAGTGATGCACATAATTGGTGGAGAAGAAGTTCTAAAGCATCGATTGCGGTTGAAAACAACAATTATGGTTGTCAAACAGTTGGCTTTACAAGAAAGTTTTTTTAGAGGGCATGATGAATCTGATGATTCTTTGAATCCGGGGAATGTTCTAGCTTGGATTGGTTTTGCAGCGAAGTTGAATGATCAAATCAATAGTGTAGTTCTCCGTAACGCACCAGGAAATGCGAAATACACTTCACCAAGCATCCAGAAGGAGATATTGGGAATCATAGCAAATAGAGTGCGTTGTAAGATACGCGAGGAGATTGGAGATTCTTGTTTCTCTATTCTTGTTGATGAAGCAGTTGATGAAGCTGGAAGGGAACAGATGTCTATTATTTTGAGGTATGTCAGTTCTTCTGGTATAGTAACTGAACGCTTTTTCGCTCTCAAGAGTGTAGCTGATACTTCTGCAGAAACACTAAAACAAGCTATTTGTGATGTTCTCTCTCAGTATGACCTTCAAATTGAAAAATTGAGAGGTCAAGGATATGATGGTGGTAGTAATATGTCAGGACAGTTTAATGGAGTCAAGGCATTATTTCTTAGAGATTGCCCATATGCCTATTTTGTCCACTGTTTTGCTCACATATTGCAATTGACATTGATTACTTCTGCAAAGGTATGTGATCCTATATGGGATTTCTTTTCCATATTGGATTGTATCATAAATGTTGTGAAGGCTTCTCCTAAATGGATCAGGGAGTTGCAAGCAATTCACAAAAAAGATCTTGATGGTATGTTGGATGTTGGAGAAATTCAATCTGGACAAGGGGCTAATCAAATGACATCCTTAAAGCGTTCGGGGCCAACTCGTTGGGGATCTCATTATCAATCCATATTGAGCATTATAAACATGTTCAATGCAACATGTGTAGTGCTAAAGGATCTTTGCCATTCTAAAGAAGGAGAACAACGAGCTCAAGCCAGAGGTGCTTCAAAAAATATCAAGACTTTTGAGTTTGTGTTCATCTTCACTTGATGAAAGGGATTATGGATATCACAAATTTTCTTTGTCAAGCATTTCAACAAGAATCTGTTGACATTGTAGCTGCAGTTGGATTTGTTTCCATGTCAAAAGTTAAACTTCAAAAGCTACGGGATGAAGGATGGGACAAGCTACTCCAAGAGGTAAAATCTTTTTGCTCAAAACATGCCATAGAGGTACCTAATATGAATGCTACACTTGGACGTGGTGAGAAGCAAACAACTCTTGAGCACTGCTACCATTTTGAATACTTTAATCAATGCATAGATTTTCAGTTGGGAACATTGAATTCAAGATTCAATGAGTCATCAGTCAGATTGCTTCAGTTGAGTGGTGCACTAGACCCTAAAAGTTCTTTCCGGTCTTTTGATGAAGAAAATATTTACAGACTTGCTGAAGAGTTTTATCCTCGAGACTTTGAAGGCAATGAGATGAATTGTTTGAAGAATGAGCTAGGATATTATGCCGATCATGTGGTTCATAGTCAGGAATATGATGCCTTGCAAAATTACTAGAGAAGCTGGTGGAAACAGGGATGGACGCACGGTACAGATTGATTTGTCGGTTGATTCGTCTAGTGTTGACATTGCCTGTTTCAACGGCTACTACAGAGAGATCCTTTTCAGCAATGAAACATGTGAAGACTGATTTGCGCAACAAGATGGGCAATGAATTTCTTGATGATTGCTTGACTATTTTCTTTGAGAGAGAGTATGTTATTGGTATGGATGAAGACTCAATTATTGACGAATTTGCTAAATTAAAAGACCGTCGTGTACAATTGACATTGTAATGCGAACTATAATTTTTTTTGTTTACGGTATCTAATTTTATGTTCGAATCCGGCCCAGTGCACTTCTATATCCTTGATCCGCCACTGTTCCCCGACATTTCCTCTTCAATGACGGGCTCAACTTCGACTTCTTCAACTCCTTCTCCACTAACACCAGGACTCAATTGTTGTCCCCCTCTTTCACTCCTTCTCCTTGCCTCGGCTAGCTCTCTCTCTCTCTTGCTAGGAGTAAGAGATTTCGGTTTATGTCCTCGTCAAGTGGTAGCAAGGGTGCTGGGTTGCTCCGGGTCATGCACCACCTACACTAGAGGTGGTAATCGGTAAATCGGTATTCGGTATTACCGAATACCGGCGGTATTGTTATTCGGGCGTATAATTTTTTATTCGGTAATACCAGATAATAGCCGGTAAATACCGATGGTATACCGGTATACCAAAACACCGAGTATTAAAAAAAAGAAGCAAAACGCAGCCGTAGTTATCGTCGAAGCTGCAACAGTCGCTGCTGAGTTCTAGTTCACCAGGTTTTGTTTTTTAACAAAACCCATTTAAAAGAAATCATTTTATTTCCTTCCGTTGTTCTAATTTCTTCTTCCATCCCTTCCTCCATTTTTGCGCACTTGCGCTCCTGCCGTTTCCCTCGCAGATCGCCCCATTGAGAATTCTCCAGTAGCAGAAGGCCTAACAACTTGTACTCGGGGAAAGGGAATTCCAGGATGGGAAATGCCCTGTGATTTCCCTAACACAATTGCTGCAAACCGACAGCAACAGGGGACTATGAATATCCCCATGCCGCTTCTGCACCAGCTGCAGGGGTTTCAACCCTTGCCCACGATTTGTTCCACTTCGAGAACACCTCCCAGGTACAATTTCTTTCTTTTGGATACTCATTTCAGTAAGGATTCAGCTTCTGCTGCTACTTGTTGAATCTCTTTTGTTCTTCATCAACAACCCCCTTTGCTCCATGGCTTTTTTCCACTCAGGTTCCACAAGGATTGGCTAAGCATATCGTCTCATCGAAGAAAGCTCAAAATAATTGGTAAAGGAAAGCTTTGATCTTATCGTGGTTTGTGAATGCAGAAAGAGGGGTGGATTTGCCATTTTCTAGAACAACAATTTCCTGTTGTTCTTTCAATATTGGGTCTCTTCTGTTGTTTTTGGTGTTAAAAGGTACAGAAAGCTAATAGAAGCATGGAGAGAATAAAACTCGCCACCGAGGACACCTGAAGAAGCTGCAAGGCTTGTGATCTAGACCCTGAAGACACACCAAAAGGCAGATGTTGAGGTAATACACACATACAACAATAATGAAATTACTCTTGCCTTGGCTATTAGCTTTTGTTTCTTTGCTTTCCCCGTGGTATCCAAGTTCTGAAATGCATGTTTTATCTACCCTTTGATTACAATGTGGTTCACTTGGTGGGAGGGTTTTGTGACTCTCTCGCTTTTGCCTTTTACTGGTTGTAATATGTTTGTTGGCATCACATCAGTCGTTAGTTTAGGGATTTTTCCAGAAATAGCACCTTTAAAAAAAAATTACAAAAATAGCACCCATCCGTAAAAATTTCCACTAATAGCACCCTTTTTAATAGAACGCACCTTGTAGATGCGTTTTTACATATAAATCGCACCCTACAAGTGCGTTTTAAATATAGATCGCACCCTACAAGTGCGTTCCAAAAATCCGGAATCAAATCTCACTTTAGCCAAGCGATTTTAGGTCTGACCTAATAAAATCGCATGGCCGAGGTGCGATTTTAGGTCTGACCTACTGAAATCGCATGGCCGAGGTGCGATTTGTTTCTACCAGACAAAATCGCACCATGAGGATGCGATTTTAACATGCAAACCGCACCTTAAAGGTGTGGTTTTGGTCAATCAATATCCGACATCCATACAGACGTTATAGACGTGGGTCTGCATGGGCCTACATGGCAGACGAAAATCGCATCTCTAAGGTGCGGTTTTCATCAAGATTTTGCCTATAAAAGGCCTCCCGGACAACCATTTCTCTTCACACCTCTTCTTCTCCCTTCCCTTTTCAATTTTCTGTTGTAGCTCTATATTTCTTTAGTAGTTTTGCGATTAACGTTACCTCGTAAGTTGATTTAGTATTACATATTTCTTTAGTAGTTTTGCGATTAACGTTAACTCGTAAGTTGATTTAGTATTAATTTTTATTGTTAATTTTTATTTTTGATTTTTTATGATATTAACTTAACTACGGTTTTATCGCAGATGGCATTCCAAAAGTTCACGCTTGGCTTACGGTGGAATGGTTACACGGAAGAGACCGGAAAGGGTGCCACCTACGTAGGTGGCCATTTTCAAAAGATAAAGGTCGCTACCAGACCGCTGCTTGAAGACCTCCATCAAATGTGCACTAACGTTACTTGCATGGATGGCACGAGAAAAGTTGATCGTATGGTGTACCAATATCCAAACAGAGAAAGTGGGTCATTGTGGCATGAGGAATATCTCATAACCACTCAGGATGAGGTAGACGCCATGCTCGAATTCATGAGGTCCAACAATCTTTCCAAAGCCGAGATGTTCGTTTACACCGAGCCGGTCGTAGGCGTTGGAGGTCATTCTGGACACGGTCAAACATCTGGTATCCATGGTGGAGGTGAATACTATGGCGATCATCCCTACCAAAGTTACCATGATCCTAATTCATATTTTCAGTACCAAGAGCAAAGTGAAGGTCATCATCAATCATATGAAGAAGAAGTTCAACCAGACCGGCCCAACCAACCTCAGTACAACTTCCTCTCAGGCAGCGGTAGTTTTCACAACTACCATTATGGAGCTGATGAAGGTGCCTTTCATGAGCTGGATCAAATGGAGGATGTCATGGCAGCACCAGTCAGTGACCCCTCCGATGAAGAAGGAGAGAACAACGTCAGTGCAGACAGCTCTGACCCTCTTGAAGGTGCCGATGATTCCGGACCAGAGTCAGACTCAGCTAATGATGATGAGGGGGCTCGTGACCGTGTACCAGTCCCCTACTACAATCACATTCCAGACGACAATTGGATGGTCGACAGCGACATGGAGCCGTCAGAGGTCCCAATATGGGGTCCGCTCACTGGGTTTATGAAGGGCCAACAATTTGGCTCGAAGAAGGATGTGCGTCACGCCATTGAGACAGAAGCAATGACTCGGCATTTTGAATGGCTCACAACTCATTCCAACACTAAAAGGCTCTTAGTCAGATGCCGTAATCATCACGAGGGGTACAATGTTAGGATTCGGGCCATCAACAGCAAGAGACACGGTTGCTGGGTCATATCCCGTGCGGTGAACACACACACATGTGTGTCATCCATAACTTCCCAAGGCCATCGACAGTTGAAATCCAGGGTGGTTGCTGCGGCTATCAAGCATCTAATTGAGCAAGAGCCAGACCTAAAGGTGAAAGTCATAATCGCTGACATTGCAAGTCGTTATGGTTATATGATTAACTATAAGAAGGCGTGGCATGGAAAGCAGAAAGCTCTGGCCGCCGTCTTTGGTGATTGGGAAGAATCGTATGCATTCCTTCCCAGATTAATTTTGGCATTGGAGGCGTCTAACCCTGGCACGGTTTTCTCCCCTCGATACCAAGATGAAGAGATACAACCCCCAGAGCCAGGTAACAAGCGCCATTTCAGACGACTTTTCTGGGCATTCAAGCCATGTATTGATGGTTTTGGCTTCTGTGTCCCTGTCATCCAAGTGTGGAACATTCCTTACCGGAAAGTACAAGGGCACTCTCCTGATTGCCAGTGGGGCGGATGCAAACAGACAAGTCTTTCCTTTAGCCTTCACCATCGTTGAGGGAGAGAATGCTGATAGCTATGGATGGTTTTTCCGGCAAATCCAGATCCATTGTACTAGGAGGACGAACCTTACAATAATCTCTGATCGGCACGCTGGCATTAGAGCTGCCATCTTAGGTTTAGATCCAGCCTGGAAGTGGTTCCAAAGGTGGTTCATACGGCACTTCAAGAGCAACTGGAACCATCATTTCAAGCGGAAGAAGCTTGCTGATAATTTGTGGTGGATTGGTAAGTTTGTACTTAGCCGTATAATTTAGTTCCAATTACAATATCTTAGTACGTTTGGCGAGTGGTGCTCTGGTTAGACTCTTTCTAAAGTGATGCATGCCTAAGGAGATGGGGTTTTAAGCGATTATCATGATCCTCCCATTTCCTGGGAAAATCGGGTTTTAAGCGATCTTCGGATCCCCCCTTTTTCTGTCAAACAGGCTGTGTTTCTAAGGAGATGTATACCTCTCCTAAGAGTCTAACAAGAGTAACTCCGGCTGTTCGAATTTGTACTAAATTGCCGAAAATTGACTAACATACTA